TGGGAGCCAGGCGCTCTGGGGTTCATGCAAAATGGAATATTCCTTTGCAGGTGATTCCACCTGGGATGAAACACAAGCCACACGCATGTCCGATGGGCTTCAGGACTTGCTTAGCAACAGCTCACGGCTCACTGAAACAGACACGCTGGGTCTCGATGGTGAGGCTTGAGGCTGGCTGGATTTCTCATGTGGGCAGAAGTGCTTCTGGATGTACACAGCCTCTTGTGACTGGATGGTTGTGGGGACACATCCGCAGGGGTGGCCACGGGCCTCGGGTGTGGGGCAGGGCCAGGAGGGGACAGAGCCAGGAAGGGGAGAGGCAGCTTCTGCACTCAGCGGCCCCCTAGCCTGAGGATGGAGAGAATGGGTGCAGAGGTGGGAAGTGGAGGGCCTCCTCCAGGGCTCTCCCGCTACCAGGAGGCAGATACTGCTGGGAATGGCACCGGTGGCCTGGGACTAATAGACAAGATGCACCCAGTGACATGCTCCCCACCCCGGGGCTCCCCATAGATGTCTTCACCATCGTCTCTCGCAAGGAGTGGGGAGCAGCAGCTGTTGGCTGCAGCGCCCAGCTGACCCTGCCAGTGGATTTCCTCATCACCCACCATGTCCCTGGGCTGGAGTGTCACAGCCAAACCACGTGCAGTCAGAGGCTCCAGGAGCTGCAGGCCCACCACGTGCACAACAACAGCTGGTGCGATGTGGCCTACAAGTAAGGGTCTGGGCATGAGGCAGGCGGGCAAAGCTGCTCTCAGGGCATTTCTCCTGTGCCTTCTCATTTCCGTTTTCCTCTTTTTCTGGGTCAAGGGTGTATTTAGGTTTATCATGACTTAAATATTTTTTAAAGATCCTATAAAATTCCAAGTCCTTTGGACTTTTCTATGAGGTCCTCAATTCTGAGGTCTCTTAAAAGAAGCAAGGAAGGTTAAATAACAACTCTGCTTGCTATTGACCTCCAAAGCTGGTTCACATGGCAGTGCAGGTTATGATTGACTTCTGCGTCCACCAGCATGTTTGCTCCCTGGCAACGTGGGAGGCAGGTTGGGCGGGCATTTCATCTCCCTGCTGTGGGCCAGGGGACTAAGGCAGGGAGGTTGTATGATTTCCTCAGAGTTGTGGAACCCAAATGGGCTTAAAACTGTCCTTTTGCCCCTTGCATGTCCCATTACGCTGCACGCAGGGGGCGCTCACCTTGGTGGGACAATCATCCATTGCTTACCCTGATGGTCACTGCAGGAAACCCTGTCGGTGCCCAGGACCACATGCTCCCAGCCCACCTCTGACTCCAGCTGGCTGTGGACAGTCCCTTTGCAAGGTGCTGGCTTCCCTCTTTTCTGCTTCTCTGCTTCAGGCTTTCATCCAGGTGTCTGATGGTGAAGAGAAGTTAATGTCCTCCTCCTGTCGCTCAGGGCAGGAGTTGTGGATAACTTCCTCGGACCCCAATCCTTGTGAGGGACAATTCTAAGGTGCCTGTACCTGGTGCACATCATGTGTTGGGGTGGGGATTAGCTGAGCCCCAAGGGGCCACTGTGAAGCTTGCGTCCATGCCCTTGTCCAAGGTGCTACTTCCTGGGAAGCCTGCGTAGGATGTTAGCCCAGCAGGGAGAAGTCACACAAACCTGCTTGGAGGTTACACAGGCGGCGTGCATTTGGGGGAAGGAGGAGAGTCATGTTTGAGGAAATGCAGAGGCTGGGCAGAATCTTAACATGGTGTGGTTGGATCTGTGTTATTTACTGTGGTGCCTTCAGGACCTCTTCTCCTGAGTGTGCAGGATGGTTTATATAAAACCCAGGTGCCAGAACAAAGAAGGGAGGTCAGGAGCATGGGGTGGGTCCTTCTGAGTTCTGAGAACAGGTGTATGTGACTCAGTCTCTCCATCCTTTGGGACGAGTCCATGCAGTTCCTGTTAGTGAACATGGCTTGAGCTCTTCTCCCTTTGGAACCTCTTGGTAAGTGGTTCCTCTCTCAGGGATGTGCCCAGTGCCAGCCTCTAAGCCTGTGTTTCCCTGCCTTACAGCTTCCTGGTTGGGGATGATGGCGGGCTGTATGAAGGTGTCGGCTGGCACGTCCGGGGCACGCACACCCAGGGCTATAGCAACGTCTCCCTGGGCTTTGCCTTCTTTGGCACTGAGGAAGGTAATGGTCATCCCAGCTTCTCTTGTCCAAAGGGTCGTCTGCTTCTTTGTCTGGTCACTGTCTCCCGCCCTTCTCCTACTGTCCTGGTGACCCTCTTTCCTGGAATTCTCCTCTCCCTTCTTTTCCGTGACTGGCGTTGATGGCCCTCCTCCTGCTTCTCTGGCTTCCTTCTCAGCCTGCGTAGCAGGTTCCTCTCCCTCTGCCATCTCAGGCGTGCTACCCAGCTTCCTCTCTGTAGCCTTGTTCCCCTCCCGCCCTCGCCTTGGAAGGATCTGGGCCTCCACTCTCACCTGTGTGTCGGTGACTATGACATCTTCCTCTGTAGCTCTGACACTCGTGTAGCGCCAGCCTGTACTTACGCATCTGCCAGGAGCTTCCTCCTTCCATCTCTCTTACACTGAGATTTTCGATACAATATTTAAAAAGCCCTTTGAGGCCTCCAATCCCAGCACCCCTTCCACTTTCTTTTAGTCTTATCCCTCTTGCATTCTAACATACACACTGGACATTCCACGGAATTTGCGCCCCCCTTACTGTGAACAAAGCTCTTACACACCTGCTTTCTCATGGTCCCTTCCCTGCACCCTTTGAGAAAGGCTAGATCCTTTTCATGATCACACTATACAAGGTGCAGCCTGAGTTTCAGAGAGGTGAGCGGCCCCAGGTGACAGACACAGCTGTAGGAGAGAGATCAGACACAAGCCCACACCTTCCACCTCCAGGTCCAGGGTGGTGTCCAGCACATCAGAGGACTTGGTGTTCTGCTTGGTTTCTTTTCGGGACTCTTCTTTGCCTGCTGGGTGTCACCTTGTTAGTAGTGGGATCTGAAGCCTCAAATTCCCCTTTGTGATAATGGGGTTAATAACAGCATCTACCTCAGAGGTGTGTGGTGAGGGTTAAAGACGTCAATGCAGGTAAAGAGGCTGGCACATGTCCAGAGGGGCCCCTACCAATGATGGGGAAACCCTGACCAGACTGGGGGGCATCCTGAGCACAGCATTGCCTCCCAGCTCTTCCAATGGAGAGAGAGGGAGCAGGTAGATGAATGAAGTGTTGGCCACTCGTTGGGAAAGGTCTTCATCCTGGCCCCCGAGAGCCCTGTCCAGGCGAATCCTTGACTTGCAGGCCTTCCGACCTGGGAGGATGAGCCTGCTCCCCTCCAACAGCTCTGCAGGGGCTGGAAAGGCGTCTCGTCCTTTCCCCACAGTCCCTGGAACTCACGTCAGACCTGGTTTCCCATAGACTGCTTTCTTCCAGGCCGCAGCCCCAGCCCTGTTGCCCTGTTAGCCATGGAGGGCCTGATCTCCAGCGCTGTCCAGAAGGGCCACTTGTCACCCATGTACGTTCAGCCACTTCTTGTGAAAGGCGAGAACTGCCTGGCCCCCCTGCAGAAGGCAAGTCCCAAGAAAGGTAAGACCTTCAACCCCACTGGCCCCCCTCCCAGACTCAGCCCCCCACTAACTTCCAAATGCCATTAGGAGTGACCTTTTCAGTAAGGCTCCTATTGGATCCCTTCTGGTAGGTAACTGGTCACCCACTCTCTGAAACTTTGGGGCTGGCAAACCTTGAGAGGGACCCTCCAGGTCACTTTATCCCTCCGAGGAAGAGCGAGGGACTCATGGCGTTATGTCTGGTGTGACACACCTGCACTCATTTCTCCAGTGATTCAACAGTTATTTGCTGACACCTGCTGGTCACTAGGCTACACCAAGGAACACAATACATAACAGCAGTGCCCTTATGCAGTTTTAATCCAGAAGGTAGAGAAAGACATTAGGCAAATAAGTAAAATATTTGGTCTGTTATATGGTGAAAACTGCTGGAGGGAAAAGTGGGAGGGAAAAAATAGCACAGGGAGGGAATGGGATCGAACACACGTACAACCACACACTTTTCTGAACGCAGAACTGAAACAACACTAATAGGCTGAAGGGCTAATGTCACCACCACTTATACTGACTTCAGAGGAAAAGTTTAATATAATTCAGGCAAAAAAGAGGGAGATAAAAGGTAGCTTTGGGGTTTAACAAGCAGCAACAGCAAAACCAGTCCAGTTAATAAGCCCTTTAAACCTCTTCTTGGCCTGGATACGATTTTAATGTAAATCAGCTCTGTTCTACTGAAGCTCTGAGTACATTTGATCTCTGCCTTCGGGTTGGGGCCACCTGTCAATTTTAATAACTGCTTACATTGACAGAGAGTTTCGTGGATGCCAAGTGACTTTCAAAGACATGATTTCTGATGAAAATTCAGCTACTGTTTCCAAAAGGGGCTAGACACACACATGTGTGCACACACCCACAGACACCCACCCACCCACACACACACACGATAACCATGCAGATTAATAAGTGTACTTTGCCCTTGGGATGCAGCATCCACATTCTCACTGTTCTTTGGATTATGAAGCCGTGGCTCTGTGGCTCCTGCCTCTTGAGTCCAACCCCTCCATACAAACACACCCTGATCCCAGGTGGGTCGTTCTGAGAGCTTCCAGGCTCTCCTGGGTCTCACAGCCACGTGAGGTCCGATGTCTGGTGGGGGGAATGTTCAATCGGGAGGTGGCTAACATGGGTGGGCACAATGGATCCTCATGTCTGCGGATTTTTTGCCCCACCACAGCTTGCCCCAGCATTGTCCCGCGGGCTGCTTGGGGGGCCAGGGAGACCCACTGCCCCAAGTTGAACCTCCCAGCTAAGTACACCATCATCATCCACACCGCTGGGAGAACCTGCAACAGGTCTGCCGAGTGCCACCTGCTGGTCCAAGATATCCAGTCCTTCCTCATGGAGAAATTGAACTCCTGCGACGTTGGGTATAAGTAAGTGTGCCTGAGGACACATGGGCTTCTTTTCCCTCTGGGGGAGCCTTTGAAAGAGAAGGGAGCAGAAACTAATATTAACGGAGAGGTGCTCCATGTGTGACCACACGATTTCTCACACAAGCCTGGGTGGGCTTTAAGGTGCAGCTAAGGAGGTGGTCATTCCCGTTGAGCATGATCTCAAGGTGCATAATTTTTAAAAGTCATATATTGACATGGTGGAGGCCACAACCCTGTTGAAACTAATAGGGGAGGTTATATGCACGCAAGATTGTGAGGCCTGTAGAAAGGAGAGTGCTTTTTAACAAAGTCGCCTCCACTACTCAGATGCCAAGGCTCTGCCCCTCAGTTCAGCCACAGCCTGAAGTTTGTTCTCCTTCCTGTTAGACTTCTCTGCCTCTGGAAACTGTCAACCCCTTGGGTTTGTGTGTGGGGGAGGATATCTTTCCTGTCTGACTGCAGGGGAGAGACTTTTGACTTCTCTCATGCCAAGGTCTGTAATTCTTTAATAAAGAACACACTGCCCTAACAGAAGAGTATAGAAACTTCTAGAAGGTTGCTTTCAGAGATTGCAGATAAGCTGTCTGGGTTAGACACCATCTAACATCCCATCAGAAACAGTCACGCAAAATTTTAAGTCTTAGGATGGGCCACCACTTGTCCAGGTGGCATATCTCTGCACATTAATCAAAGGATCCCCTTTTTCTGGGGGTGCTGATGGGGAACTGGATTTTACTCCCTGCTTGTCCCCAAGCCAGACACCTCTGTTCAGTGTGCAACTGGCACAGCTGTATGCAGTGGCCCTGCCTGAGATGGATTTGCTGTTACTTGGTATATGCTGCTTGGCTGAATGCCTCTTCTCTCTCCATCCCTGTTTTAGCAGCAGCTCTTTCAATATGGGGGGAAAACTTTTCCTCTGACACCTCTCCTCTATCAGCACCTATGAAATGCTTTGCTAGGTCTTGCTGTGCAAGATTATTTGCAATGTTGCTCTTTTTAATTAGAGTGAATGCCTGAAACTTGGAATTTGGAAATTCTAATCTGGAAAATGATATAGCTAAGGGAGGTCCTTCCCTTTTCCCATTCAGGTTTTAGAGGGCAATTTCTTGTCCCTTGGCTTTTGACCTTTTACTGTGTCCCCTGTAACATAATTTCATGACCATTCCGTTTGCCTACCTTGAGACAGGGGTAAACACTCACTAACTATAAATTAATCCATTGAGAAAATGATCGAGCGCCTACTCTGTGTGGGCACAGGCTGTGCTCTGGGGATGTCATCAGAGGGAGCACAGATGCTGTCTTGCCTTCATGGAACTAATACTGTGGTGAAGGAGACAGATAATTAAACAAACAAATCCTAAAAAAAGTAAGTGTTATGATAGAGGACACAGGGGTGTAAACAGAAGGCATTTTATTTTATGTACTTATTTTAAAATATTTTACTCTTTTCAATTTAGGTTTATTAAAACATTTTTTATTGAGGTGCATACAATAAAATGCAGAAATCTTAGTGCATAGATTGATGCATTTTGACATGTGTATCTACTCATGTAACCATCACCGAAATTCAGATATCAAACATTTTTGCTAATTTTTTTCTGCTTTCACCTATTTCAGCCATCTTCACATCCCCCTCTACCACGGAAACCACCAGAAGGTGGTTTAAACTCTTGTTAGGTTCAGGGAATGGGCGTGAAGGCAGCCCTGCCACAGGGAGTGACATATCAGCTGGGACAGCGGGGAGTGGAGCTCCTCAGAGGAGGGAGGAGGCCAGAGTTCCAGGCAGAGGGAGAGGACCTCAGTGGACGGGCCTGGATGCCAACCTGGGAATGGGGCCTTTGAGTTGCTGAGAGAAGTTCTTCATGATAAAAATAGGTGCTGGTGGGGCGGATGGTAGAGGTAGGGCTGGGCGGAAGTACAAGGGCCATGTCACGAAGGATCTTGTCACCTGTGCTGGGGAGTGTGGGTCCCGTACCAAGGCACTGGCAGCAGGTCTGATGGGCCTGTACTGGGAAGGCTGCTCACAGCCTCAGGCGCAGAGTGGACAGGGTGCTGTGGAGGCGGCCAGGTCTATCTAAGGACTGTGCATAAGTCCAGGTGGGATGGGGCAGTGATATGGCTGGGGGTTAGCAGCTGCTATGGACAGAAGTGGAGGAATCCAAGAGGCCAATAGAGGGAAGTGGTTCATGGGGAGGACGCAGGGGTCCATTAGGGAGAGTAGCTGGGAGACGTGGTTGACAAGCGTCAGTTAATGAGGGGATGCAGAGGCTGGCCTGCTGCCCATACTCCTGGCTGGGGCCAGTGGGAGGAAGGGGGGTAGTGCCTTTCACCAAGGTGGGGGCACAGAAAGGGGCACAGGTGGGGAAGGAGGTGGGTCCCAGTGTGGACACGTGGACTTGCCTGGATGGGAACTGAAGCTCAGTCGGTGGGTGGGTTAGTCCGGGGAGAGTGTGTTGAGCAGAAAGAGAGGGCTTAGCGCAGCTTCCTGGGGAACCCCTCGTGCACAGGAAAGGGCACAGGATGATGAGAGGAGTCTGAGGACCAGCCAGAGGGGACAGCTGGAAGAACATTTGAGAAGGTGGGAGGGGTCGGTAAGGCTGAATGCGGAGAGATCAGGTAAGGAAGGCTGGAGAAAGGTACTTTGCATTTAGTTATAAAGGGGTCGAAGGGCACCCTGGGGGAAACAGGTGAGGTGGGGAAAGGGCAGGTTGCAGGGCTTAAAAGCCATCCTAGACTCTGAGTTACATTGGGCAATAGTGGTGTGCAGGGGACAGATGGGCTCACGAGAGCAGATTGTTGGAGATTCAGGAATTTTGTAAGCCAGCTGTTAAATCACCGGTAGCTTGAGATCAGCCGCAGTGGGAGTTTTATACCCCAGAAATGAATAAAGACTACAAACCAGGGCTTTTGTAATTCCCCCCTCCTAACAGAGCTGGTTTACCAGCACACCCCTGGCAAGGACTCTCTGCCTTTTATATAACTCAGTGCTTAGAATTTACTAGCTAATCAACACCTCATGAGTAAAGGCACCAATGGATGAATGAAAGAACGAATGAAACCATTCCAGAGGGCTGCTCTTTCCTGCTGATCCATCTCCCCTCCCAATGCTCTAGCTTCCTCGTGGGCCAGGATGGGGCCGTTTATGAAGGAGTGGGCTGGACTGTCCAAGGCTCCCACACTCGTGGTTACAATGACATTGCCCTGGGCATCGCCTTCCTGGGCACCTTCTCAGGTAAGCGGGCGCTCTGGGCAGGAGCGGCCACTGTATGGGGTTTGAGGGAGAGTGTCTGACATGGGAGGCAATGGCTGAGTGTGACCGGTTCCCAGAATCTCATCCTTAATGTACCTCCTTTACCCTCAACCAGAAGTCCCGATGTCCCAGGCACATGTAAGACAAGGGGAAAAGATCTTCGTGCATATTTTTCAGTATCTTACTAGTCTGGGAACAAGGTGGGGACCCTCCCCTGATTTGCCACCACCATGGAGAAGCCTCTCTCTGCATCCAGAGTGCACACTGAGAATTGTCATTGCTCAGAGCTCTTGACTGGAGTTTGTTTAGACGTAGGGCCCTGTAGCTGAACCTCTGGGAAGAGGAGGCCATGTCACTGGGGCTCATTCAGGCTGATACTAAAATAGGCGTTGGGCAGTGACAAGGGGTGACTGGGAGCGTGAAGGGTGCAGGAAGCACACCTGCAGTGAGGCAAGGTTTCTCAACCTTGGCATTGACATTCTGGATCAGATAATTCTTTGCTGTGGGGCTGCCATGTGCATGTTAGCATCTAATTTCTGCCACTAGATGCCTTAAAATCCTTCCCTTAGTTGTGACAACCAAAAATATCTCCAGATATTGTAAAATGTCCCCAGAAGGCTTAATTGTCCCCAGTAGAGACCTAGCAAGGCTAAACTCTTGCAGTGGAGAAAGGCTTTGTACATCCCCAGAATAACCATATATTATCCCAGGCTCTGCTCTTTTGATTCAGGTCGAACTATGGTGCTGAAAAATTGGAAGTCTTCACTTGGTTTTCTGTCCATGGACAGAAACTTACTGTGGGCAACGGTGGAATATGCTAGCTTGGAGGTGGGTGGGTTAGAGGGTATCCAAGAGTGTGTTCTGCCCTGGGCAGGGCGCCCTGGAACCTATAACTGATGGGCTGGCTGTGTTCTGCAGGTGCCCCACCCAATGCTGCAGCGCTGGAAGCAGCCCAGACCCTGATCCAGTGTGCCATGGCCAAGGGGTATTTGAGTCCCAACTACCTGCTGGTGGCGCAGAGTGACGTTATCAAAACCCTGTCTCCTGGGAAGGCTTTGTACAACATCATTAGCAGCTGGCCTCATTTCAAACACTGAGGTGCCCCTGCTCCTCTGAAAGTGCTCCCCACACCCACCCAGCTGCAGGGCCTCCCCTGCCCTCCCCCTGCACCTTGACTCAACCCCTCGTGTCCTGTCCCTCCTTTCTCAGGTAGTATGATCCTCTCCTGCTGGTGTCCCCCAGCTGTCCCCAAACTCCCAGGCTCAGCCTCCCTCCCTCCTCACCTCCTCTCCCCTGGGCGCCACCTCCTCAGCCAGCTGAGACAACAGGCTGGTCCCTCTGTGACTTCTTGTCCCTCAGCACGTGCCCTTCTGCCCCTGTGCCCTCCTGTGTCTGCCCAGCAGCCCCCAGCCTCACAAATGACCCTGGCCAATGCCTGTCCCCTCCTCTTTGCTCACAAATGGACGTGGCCACGTTTGGACACAGCCCTTCTGTTGTGTATGGGCATGTCTGTCTCTCCACTGGCTTGTGAGGTGGTCCAGGGGGCCTGTCCTCAGCTCCTCTGCAAGGTCTGGAATCCAGTGGGCACGACAATGCTTACTGAATAAATGGACGACTAAATGAATGAGTGGGTCAGCGCCCGTGTCCTTCCAGTTTGCCCCATTGTGCCCTTGTTGGAGTAGGCTTCCTGGACAGCACCCATCACCAGTGTCTTTCTCCTGTTCCTCCCAGTCTGAAGCTCATGTCACTGGTCTGTAGTGGGTGCTGTGTCTCCAGGGTCCCAAACCCCCATCCTCCCCAAGCTCCCTGAGGGCTGGGCCCGTGTGCCCCTCCAGGACTGGGCCGGGCTGTGTCTGCCCAGTTCCACCAGTGCCTGCTGCCTGCCCTTGCCTGGTTGGGCCCACTGGGTGTCTGGCTGAGTGAGGGCTCTGCAGCCCTCCCTGCCCGGCTCCTCCTGCCCAGAGGGAAGCCCAGGTTATCTGCAGGCAGCAGCACAGGAGCTGGCTCTCTTTCCTCCTGCTGGAAACAGGGAGGCAGAAGAAGGGGAGGGATAAACAGAAGGAGCTACAGGCCTCCCAGGAGAGGGTCTCCTTCCTTCGATCACAGCCCCCTTCCAGGCTCAGGGCCTCATTGGTCTCCCCAGGCCCCCTACTGCCCAGGCAGGCCTTGCGTGGGGGCTGTAGACACGCAGCAAAGCCACCTCCAATCATTGCATGGTCTGGATTGCCTTCTCAAAATTACTCACCGTCTTTGGTCTTAAATATACCTCCCAGTGTCACTGGGGCCCTCCGCTGGTGGGTGCTTCTCCAAGGAACACTCTGGGCAGCCTGTTCCATGCAGTTGCCTCTTCTGGGTCCTTTGTATGGAGAAATTCTCCCCAGCTCCCCTTACTTCAAGTGGGGAACCCGTCAGCGCCCACTCTATGCCCACCCTCTGGACCTCTCCAATCCACCAGGAGTTAAGACACTTACCAAGGCGAGCCCCTCCAGAAGGCTCCCTGCTTCTCCAGACCACAGATGGCATCTCTGCCCCCAGGTACCCATGGACTTTGCCCGGCCTCCTGCTGGCTCACCACTCGACCCTGACGTCTCCCTCCCGACCTGGGCTGCCCAGGTGTGTCTGGCTGGCTGCCTGTTGTGGCCCTGGGTATCATGGAATCAGTGCTCCCAAGTATTTCTTAGAGGGAGATCCCCGGCCCCCGCTAGTCCCCTCCTGGGCCAGGCAGTCCAGATACGTCTCGCTCTGCCTTCAGAAAAAGTATGAGCTTTTGTTTAGGTTAGGCCTTAGAATTAGGTAGATACTGTGACTACCGAAAGCCTAGTCCTGTAACCCTGCCTTTCATTTCACAACCCAGTTCCAGGTCCCTGGCTTCCCTGCACCACGGGTCCACGTACGTGCAGTCTGACCCATCAGAGGGCCTTGGGCAGCTATGGCCCTCCAGGCTTCTAAAGCTTGGTTTGGTCCCAGCTCTCTGCAGAGCCTCTTGTTTTCCTGTCCCTGGGTAATGAGCTTCACATAGAGTGACCCCCTGACTACTGTGTGCAGAACAATTGAATGAATAAGATGGCTTTAATTTGAAGGTGTGGTGTAGCCGGGAATACAGTAATGCTGTTAATATGTATAGAACACTTAAAAAGTTCTCCTCAAAAGATCTTCAAAATTATTTTTAGAGAATTCTGTCATTCTTTCCCTCTGAATCCTTCCAACTTGGCAGTAAATGATGGTGGGAAGTCTCTTGTGTTGCCCTTCATGTGTGTCATGTGGTTCAAGAAGTTAATAGCTACCTTTCAGTGTCAGTGAAACAATGGAATACATTGAAAAGAGATTTAACAAAAATTAACTTAAAGCCATCGTCTAATATATGACAGGAAAGTCAAATGAATGCCTTTAATAAAGATGTATTACAGAACTCAAGTATAAGAAAGATACCTTAAAATAAGCACTTGAAAACTCATTTGCTTTGTATTAGCTTGGCATAATGTATTTAGTAAGTATATTTGGAACTAAAACTTGGTGCTTATAATGCCCTTGAAAGCAGACAGTTTAAAGATATTATTTAAAGTAAAAAAAGACAAAATTGTTCATGAAAAATGTATGGGTGATGCTGAACACATCAGGCATCCCCTGACTATGACAGTAATTTCTTCAGCATAGAAAACAGAAGAAAGGCAGATGTGTCACTTCAATTGTGCCTCATACCAACCCAGCTAGGACTCAACTTGATAGTTCAAAAGTTTAAAAAATTGGGTAAAGACGGTATCATTTTTAGGTGAAAATTTTACAATACAGATAGAAGATCATGGCCTTTTTCTTAGCATTTAGATTACCTACAAAGTTTGAAAAGTTATGATGAACATGCACTATTACAACTAGGTAAGGTTTTACAATTGAAATGGACTGTTGAACATAGGAAGAAAGGTGATATTGATTAGCGGGGGTGAAATCGCAATATTTCTGGAATCTCCCACCAGGCCTTAGCGCATCTCCATGTCCTTTCCAAGGGGTGGAGAGAAGTAGTCCATCTCCATATCAGTAGGTAATTAAAGGGCGAGCCAGGGCATATCTGGACTGGAGAGCTTGGGCACGGTCCCTTCTTCTGCAGCTGGGTGGCGAAAGACTAGGGAGAGCAGAAGTGGATGACTGCTTATAAGCAATAAACAGGTTTCCCTTCTTTATTTTTCCCCTTGACTGATTTCAGTTTCAAAGGTATTTTGCCCCAGATTTTCCCCACGGAGTTAGAGTTAGACATCCGTGTATGACAGAGTGGAGGCTTCAAGTACTTTTGTCAGTCTACTGTGAATCCTGTTGAAGTTGAAGTGTATTTGCAGCAAAAACATGCTAGATACCTTTCTGAATACTTACATTGCTTTCAAGATGTACTGAACTTGGATAATATATCAGTCACTGGTGGAGAACAACACCTCTCAAATTAAAATGTATTTAAAATGGCCCAAGAAAGACTAGCTAGTCAACAGTTTTTTGAGAAAATGAGATACTGGATGAAGTCAATGTCAATTTTGTTTCCATGAAAGCAAGGCAAATACATAAGCAATTATTATATCTGAGTGACTTAGCTCTTATTTATGGTTAAAAAATTTTAATGCTATTTATGTTTAATAATTTGATTTACATGATTTATACAAAGAGACCACTTAACAATTTTTATTGAGAAATAAGTAACATAGTCACTTCAATTTTTAACTGTGGAAGGAATACTTTTACTGATTCTCATAAAAATACCATATGGACTACGAGTGGCTTTCTACTAGTTAATCCCTAGGTGTCCTTTGACCTCTAGCTGGGGCCGTGGTTCTCTATTTTCCTTTCCCTTTTTTGGGTTGCTGCCATTCTCTTTACCACCTGGATTTCTTCTTTTACAAGTCTGAATGCAGAGTAAGTGTCCTCAGCTCTCCGTAACTTGCTGTTCCAAAGACGAGCTCACAGACCATTCTCATTTTAAGGGTTTTCCTACTAATCACGAAGGGGAAACATCCAGAGTCATAAGTTAAAATTTCAGACATGAAGTACTGCCAAGGTTCAGGAAAACTCGTGGGCTGTTTCTGTCATTGCCACCGGCTGTAATTTCTGGTCCGTTTGCTAGACGCCTTTCTCCGAGCCTTCGCGGGAGCTCCCCCACCACTACGGAGGACGGGAGCTCAGCCGACGTGTCTCCTCCAGACACCAGCAGGTATCGGAGGCTCTGGGTCCCAAGAGGCCTCCGGCCAGCTCCTGTCCCTGGAGTGCGGTGCGGGCCATCAGTGCGGAGAGCACAGCGGCTGTTCACGCAGCCTTTCAAGCGGGCAGCATGCTTTTCAGGGCCTCTGGGCTGAGCGCTCCCATTTCAGGGCAGAGATGACCGGGAAGACTCAGTACGAACCCCCTCAGAGGAGGTGCAGCGATTCTGGGAGACCAGAGCTGAAGGCCAAGGCCACAGCGTGGGGGGAGCCTGGTTTGGAGAAAGCTTCTGAGGGTGTTTGTTTCAGACAGTTTCATGCTGAGGAGGGGTGTCGGGCGAAGGGCCAGCTGTCCACAGAGTAAGTTCCAGTGAGGACACGTGGTGCCTTGTCCCCTGGACTATACCTTTCTGTTCCGCGCCCCCATCCTGCCCCTGCTGGTGCCCCCGGTGGGTGGGTGACCTCCATCCACAGCCTCCACACTCCTGGAGCAGATCCGTCCCCACGGGCAGGGCAGGAGGTCCCCGGAGGTCGGCACCGGGTTGGAAGGGCTCCCGAGGGCTGGGGACGGGGCAGGAGCTGGGGGAGCCTTGGGCAATCGCGCCCTTTCCCAGGGAGGCGGTCCCCGCGCTTATTCACAGGGCGGGGCCGCGCTCCTGGGCCCGAGTCTGGAGTCCCGGAGCTCCGCTGGGCGTGCGGACGGCCTGCCGGAAGCCTCGCAGCTCGGTGCTCCGGGTCCCCTGCACCTTGGGTGAGGGATCGCGGGCTGTCTCCTCTCCTCCGCCCCAAGCCAGGGCCCGCGCGCTGCGTCCCCGGGGAGGGCGCGCCCTCTAGCGCGGGCCGCCTGAAGGCCGAGGAGGCAGCCGCGGGCGGAGGACGCAGGGCCGGGGGCCAGGTCGGCGAGGGAGGCTGGCAGCCAGTGAGGGGTGAGCGGCCTGCAGCCTGAGCTGGGGGCTGGGCAGGCGCGGCACCCACCGGTATTCTGAGTGCGGCGGGAGTGCGCTTCTTCCTGAGAAGCCCACGGAAGGGACTGGACTCCATCAGATTGAAATGTTAACATGGTGGCCACAGTTCCCTTCATCTCCCCCCCCTGAAATCTTACGTCTTCCTCTCTTGGATCCTTTGTGCCTAGGCTGTGGGTCTTGGGGTTACCTCTCCCCAGTTTTTTCCCTTTGTGTCTAGGCCTGAATCCCTAGCTATTACTTCTCTTGTTACTTGTTTTAATAGTTTGCCTTTATTTTAAGTATACAGAATGCACAGCAATGTGAGCCAGGCTGGCTGAGCGTTGTCCTGAGCCAGTACTGCCAGCTAAGTGTTTGTGATTCGAGGTGGGGATGGGAGACACCGCCAGTCCCTGCCCTGGCATGATCAGACCCAGGCTCAAGCCTTGCTATTTCAGCTGCATGATGTGACCATCTGGGACAAGCATTGGCCACATTAACTTTCACAGCTGGGGAAGCACCATGATCAAGTGACTGGGTCCAAAACTGTTGACTGAAACTGATTGGCGGCTTCTAGGTAGCAGGAGGCCAGCCTACAGGGCTTCCGACTTGGACTGGTTCATCCATGCCTCTTGTTTGGCGGATGAGGGAGGCTGAACACTTTCCCACATGTCCACTAGCTGCCTGCTTTAAACTGTGACGAGCTCATTTTTTTGTCTCAGTGCACAGTTTTCCAAATGAATGGAATCCTGGGTGTTATTTGCCAAGAGATTACCTGTCCAGATCCAGGAAGCTCCTATATACTCAAGGATTAAACTGCAGTTCTAGACATTTTCCATCTAGGGACTACTGATAACAATCTAAAGACTCCGGAGGGCAAGAATGTACCCCACTGGATCCCAAACCTCCCTCTGTAGTTTCTCAGTAGAAAAACTGGGAGGGGAGTTGATATTTTGGTGGACATCTCAGAGTGTTCATTTTGATTGAGCACAAGCAAGTGACTCTGCCTGAGAGAGCGGAGAGGTTTCCTGCAGTTGGCAATGAGCACAGAGATCCTGGACTTAAACTTCTTGGGCCTACGTGCAGAATCTACACCTTCAGAAACTCAAGCAGGTTGTGATGAGGGTCCAGGCAGGTGCTGGAGTCAGACAGACCTGAGTATGGATCCTCTCAGCCCCTACCGCTTGGGTAACTTTGGGAAGTGACGTAAACTCTCCAAAGCCCAGTTTCCTGATGATGTGGGGTAGCCATTGTGAGGATACCTATTGAAATATCTGTGGTGTCCTCAGCAAATATTTGGATCACAGGATGTGATCAGAGATTTGTAACTATTGTGGTTCTTCTTCTTCTCCTTCAAGAAGAAGTTAGCGGGGCATCGGTCAGGGATCTTTGGCTGGAGGACCAAACTTGATGACTCAACACACCTTTAACTCTCAGATAGTGCTGGGGATGAAGGCTAACCCCGCCCTCATTTGTACTTCATTCCTGCTGAGCCTCAGTGTTGTCACCTTTAAAAATAAGGTTAAGACTATCTTACAGGAATTTTGTAAGGATTAAATATAAAATGGCAGTATTTCATCTTATATGTGAACATATCTCTACAGGGTTTATTCATAGGAGCTACTCAAGGATTTTAGAATTGCTGTTATCTCCCCTGGAAGGCTTAAGGTGATGCCCCGGGCTGCTTTGAGGGACTAGGAGCTCTTGAAGGGCAAAGGGAGGTTGGTGGGGGTGGTGACCAGGGAAGTGTTAGTGTCTTACCTTCTTGGGCACCTGCTGAGGGCTTGGGCCTTGTGCTGGAGGCCCTGAGAAGGCCGCAGGCACTGGCCCTCTGGAGGCCCACAGTTTGGAAGGGAGGCCGAAGGGGGCACCAGGCCCTGGTGGGGGAGTTGGTTCTGTAGCGTGAGCTCGGGTCAGGCTGACTGTCGGTGTCTCTCGCAGGGCCGAGGTCCACGCCCTCCCTGTCTGTGTCCTGGGACCACGTGCGGATGCTGCCCTGGCTCCTTGTCTTCTCTGCTCTGGGTCTCGGGGCCTGGGGTGAGTTTCTTCTCCTGGGGTCAGAGTGCTTTTGGTGCCAGCCCCAGCCTGGTTTCACCTGTAAGTCTCCCTCTCCAGACTGTCACTCCTCCCAGCCAGTCCTTCCCCTTCGGAGCCCGCTTGGGAGCCCCCTCCCCTGCTGGGACTGGCTGCAGCCCTCAGGAGTCTCCCCAGCCTGCCTGGCACTCCCGGGCCTCAGCGCCACCGGCATGTATTTGTTCTTGATGATTTCTCAGAAGGACAGACTCTCACAAACTTGGTGGAGACCCTTAGTGACCTTGTCATACAAACAGGCCATGTGGTGGCACTGGCTTTTGCCCAAGGTCGTCTGACAACGCGGGGCAGGCTGCCAAGTGTGGTGGTTATGAACATGGCTCAGGACCTGGAATTCAAGTCCGTCGCTGGAAACCTGTATCATCTTAGACAAATAACCTCTCTCTGCCTCAGTTTCTCCTCTGTATTTGAGGACTAGTTACTTTGCTTTGCTTGTTTTGTAAATCGCAAATCTGCCAGTGACCTTGGACATGCTTTGAAACTACAGAGCTGGCCTGTGGAAGGCGATGTTGGGGACGTTGCTGGTTCTAGGGTTTAGTGCTCTCGTGACCTCCGGTACTGTACAGGCATAGGGGATGAGGCATGTTTGTGGTTGATGAATCATAATCTCAATTAATCCTGTCTAAAATGCCTAGTTTGTGAGGGCACTCACACAATCTACAAATTTCTATGTTTTAAGAAACTTGTCTGGATCAATATGTTTAATGCATGTGCATGTGTTAGCTCAAAATGATGATGACCATCTCGGTATGTGACACTCTGATCTAGTAACAGATATGCAGGGCACTGGGGAAGGTGGAGCTGCCCGGATGAGCGGCAGGAGAGACTGCACGGCCCCTGGAATGAAGGGAGGACTGGGGGAGGAATGGAGGGTGCACGCAGGCCTCCCTGGGGCAGATGGGAGAGGCAGAAGCGGGGTGAAGCCAGGAACATCTGTGGTTCTCCTCTGTGTTGTTTCCTAGAGGAAGTCACGGGACCTGGGGAGGCTGAGAGGCTGTGGCCTGTGTGTGTGTGTGTGTGTGTGAGATGTCGAGCCCGTGCCGAGCCAGTCCAGGTGTTCTCCAAGGACCAAGTGCAATGTTCCTTTGCAGGGGATTCCCCGTGGCTCTCCCAGAATGAAACCCAAGCCAGTGGACTGTCAGAGGGGCCTCAGGACCTGTTTGTGGGCATCTCTCAGCTCATTCACAAGGGTCACAATGGTGAGGCGGTGTGGGGATTGACAGGGGCCTCTTGGGTGGCCAGAAGTGTTTCTCAGGACTTCATTATGGCTGGGCTGGGTGGTGGGGTGGGCGGGACCCCAAGAGGGGCATCCGCCAGTGACCCCCCCTGGATCATCCTGAGTCCTCAGGCAAACGTGGGTTCCAAGAAGTAGAAAACTCAGAACAAAGGCCTCCAGACCCCAGTTGTCAGTAAGAGGTTGGACACACCCTATCCCTCAGAGAATCCTGGGAGCTTCGAAGGTAGGATGGTAAGGGAGCCCTCAGGGACCCAGGGGCCTGTGTGGGGCTCTCAGCCCTGCTGGGGTGAGTTTTCATCTGATGGAGAATTTATGTGATGTATCCGATGTTCGTGGAACTTCCTGTGGGTTCTGGAACCAGGTAACTGCTGGTTTGAATAGCCGAGCACCTGAGAGCTTCAAGAGAAGGCAGCTGAGGACCGGGGGGCTGGGTGTGGGTGTCCCTGGGGCTGCTTCCTGGAGGCAGGGATTGTGAGCAGGCCAGAGAGGAATGGCAGATGGGATTTTCCTCTAAAGAAGCACAAGGAGGAAGTATTTGCAGAACATGGCAACTCACCTCCCCAGGTGGATGCAATCTGTATGGGGACGTTTTTAGCCTGAATAGTGTGGAGAGTCAAAGCAGAGGCTGTGGGTGTGAAGGCCTCCTCCATGGGGGGCCTCTTCCCCCACAGCTGGGCAGGCGGGGTCCAAGAGTGACAGGACTCTGGGCTGCGGGGATGGCCTGCCCGAGGACAGGGTAGGACTTGCTGCATGTCCCCCTATGGTTCCCCCTGCAGATGCTCCCCCCATTGTCTCCCGCAAGGAGTGGGGGGCGAGATCGCTGACCTGCAGGGCCCGGCTGATCCCTCCTGCGGCCTACATCATTGTGGACCAGCTCACGGGGATGGAGTGCCAGGAGCAGAAAGTTTGCAGCCAGATGCTGCGGAGCCTTCAGTCCTATTCTGTCTACACCAAAGGCTGGTGTGATGTGGCCTACAAGTAAGAGCCTGGCTGGGGCAAAGCTCACCTTCAAATGACCTCTGGGAGGTGGCTTCCCACTTCCCCTTCTGTTTTTTGCAATTTTCCCATTCTTTTTGCTGTTATTAAATAGTGAAAAGTGTTAAAACAAAGAAAGTCCAGAATCCTCTAGTGAACATTAGGAGGGACAGCTCTGAGCCATTTATTCAGATGTGGTCTTGAATGCTGGGAGCTCCAGGAAGGAAGGAAGGCATGTTGTGTAATAACACAGCTGCAGCTCACAGAGCATTACGGTTCACAAAGGTCTTCATGTATGTTAGCCACGTGGGCCCTCCCGCCACTCTGGGGAACAAGTCGGAGAACTATTGTCAGCCCCATGTCCCAGGCAGAATGTGTGGTCTGGCGAAGTTAGCGAATTTGCCTCAAGTCCCACGGCCAGGGAGTGGGGGCCCAGGGCTGGTGCAAACTTGCCTACAGGCCCAGCATTTGCTCCACTCTGCACACAGACAGCACTTTCCCCCGAGCAGTCCCCCTGCCACAGTGAGGCTGGGACCCCAGGGGAGGAGCGGCCCTGGGACGAGGGAGGAGAGCCCCGCATGGAAACAAGCCTGACGCATGGAGAGCCTTCTGTTGCTCAAGGACTCTCCACTCTGAGATTGTCAGGGGAGGCCTGGAACCTCTTCTTTTCCCCTCAAGAACGAATATATATATGTTCGTAGAAGGAGAGAGGGTAGGAGTAGGGCCTTCCCCCTGAGTTCTAAAGACGAATATAAATGATCTGAATTATCCATAATGGAAATGATAACTCATGTCTTCTATTTCTTTATTTTGAGATACAAGTAAGTTAGAGCAGCTGGAGGCCCTTATTGGAGCACCAGAGCCCCTGGGGGCCGGGTGGGGTCTTCCCGTCCACCCTCTCCGGATGCTGTGTTTATAGCTCAGATGCTGCCCTGGCCCTCCTCCCCGCCCCCACTTTGTCACTGTTGCTGGCTTCAGCCACAGTATTTCTAAGGGATTTCAGTCCCTGCAGCTCTAAGTCAGGTTCCCACAGTGATAAAATTTCACGAACTCCTTTGATCAATGCAGCGGCCCAACCAGAGGCAGTGGCAGGGTGACAGAGGAAGCTGCTGAAAGAAGTGGCAGTGAAGCCAGGGACATGGCGGACCTGCTGGGCTCCCACCGCATCTGCTGGCTGATGTCAGAGCAGGGCGGGAGGTCAGGCCACCTCGGTTCAGGCCAGTGAGTCGGGTGACGTCAGGGATGTGCTCATCCTGTGCTCAGTCTGCGGTGGCAACTTGTGGTCTATTAAAAGCCGAACAAATTGTGAAGACATCAGTTGTGAAGACTGACTGCAAAATAGAAGACTAGAAGGTTATAATGAGGCAGAAAGAGTAAAAAAAAGAATAGATACATTCATTTTTTAAAGTAACCTGAGAAAAGCAAGACTCTAATTTCTGTGATAAAGAAGAGCTTATGGGAATTCCTAAGGAGAAACTGAAGAGTGAAGGAATTCCTGGATTCTGGTGACTTGTTTTCAATGTTCAAGTGCTTGGTCCTGTATTTTGAAAACATGGTGAATGAATTTTCTTGCCCATGAAAAACGCTGAACATAATTAATGTTGGATATAATTAATGTCCTCAGGTCCTTAAGAGACACACATTTGAATTTCACTTTGAACCAAATGAGTATTTTTAAAGCGAGGTTCTGGGAAACAGTATAAGCTAAGTCACAACACAATTTAAAGTAATTCCTACATCTCTTGGAAGTCCAAAATGGGTTATTGCCCACACCCATTATGTCACTGAAGCGTAGTACTTATCTGTTAGCCACTGGAACACTTTCCCTCCTGAGGACAGGTGAGAGGTTTCCTGATACTGAGATTCACCGTTAAATCCACGTTTCCTTGCTGGCAGCTTCCTGGTCGGGGACGATGGCAGGGTGTACGAAGGTGTTGGCTGGAACGTCCAAGGCGTGCACACCCAGGGCTGCAACAGCGCCTCTCTGGGCCTTGCCTTCTTTGGCAATAAGATAGGTAGTGGTCGCCCCCATGACCCTCAGCCCAAGAGCTGTCCACACTCCCTTCCTCCGCTCCCTCACCTCAGTGATCTTGTTTCTCAGCCCACATCATATTTATCCTCTCTGACCATCGCCCCTCTTGATGTTCTCTGACCAACACTTCTCTTGATGTTCTCATCTCCCTTGCATTCTGCGGCTCAGCCTTCTGCGTGACCCCTTCCTCCTCCCTGGTCTGCGCCCCTGTGAGACCGCTAAAGCCGCTGACACTGCTTAAGCTCACAGCGATTGCCGTTGCTTCTGGAACCTGACATTGCGTGGTGCTGAGGCTGAGGCTGCAGAGGCAGAGAAGGGCATGGCTTCTCTCCTCCTCCGGCATCTCCCCTTGGTAGGACCCAAACAGCAGTGGGCAGGCAGGGAAGTCTGGGAAATGCAGAACAGAGGAGAGCACAGAGCAGGAATGGAGTTGAGAGCTGCTAGATACATAACTGGCCCCCGCCAGGATCGTGTGCTCACTGCGGAGAGAAATAGCATTTGTCTCAGGTTTTCTGTGAGAATTATACGAGTTGGTGGATGTAAAGAGCACTTGGTGCTAAGCTAATACTGTCACCTTTTGCTCCGTGCTACGGCATGCCTGACTTGGCTGGGTGGCCTCGCTTTGCCAGAAGCTTTGTCCGCCTCCCAGATCTTTCTCCTGGAGATGGAACGGATACATAAAGTCTTAGTTTGGCATTTGGGAGAGGTTGCCAACTTGGGCTTCTGGGAGCTCTATCCAAGTCGTTCCTTGCCTCTTAGGGCCCCGTCTTGGCTTCTGGACCGGTTTCCTCTCCTCCCCTCACCTCAGGGGGCCACTAACCTCCCTGCAGGTGTAGGCCAGGTTGGGGTTTCTTGCTGACAGCCCTGTTCCATGTCATCCTCTTTCAGGGAGCAGTCCCAGTGCCACTGCCTTATGGGCTACAGAGAACCTGATCTCCTATGCCATCCAGGGGGGTCACTTGTCACCCAGGTATATTCAGCCACTTCTCTTGAAAGAAGAGATCTGCCTGGCGCCTCAGCAGCCACTGATGCCCAGGAAAGGTAAGACTCTCAATCCCGCCTCACCCTCCTTCCAGGGACCACTAAGCACGTTAGGGAATGCTTTTTCCTGTTGATGTTCCTGGCTTCTTGGACCCAGAACATCTCATTCTGGGATGTGGAGAATTCTGAGAGGGCACCTTCCTGGCCTTGCTTCCCACTAGAATGGTTAAGCCATGGACCCATTCTTAACATACATGTACATGCACACACATTTTCACTCCATCAACAAATCTTTGCTGAATACAAGGTATTCAGGTCACAGCTGTGAACAAAACAGACAAAATTACACATTTCAGTGAAGAAAGACAGAAAATGAAGAAACTATATAATGTCAGATGGCATGAAGGTTGTGAAGACAGGAAAGCATGGAAATGGGGTGGGGTAAACTTATATACATATTTGTGTATACTGCATGAGTACACATAGACACACACACACCCCTTTCTAAGTGCAAAAACCAGCCAACCTGAAACGTGACCACAGCACAGAGAAAAACCTGAGTTCACAGATCATCAGAATGCCAACCATTCCAAGAAGTTGGATAGTGAAGATCAGGCACTATTTTGGATGCCCAAGTGGCAACCTAAAACCAAAACAGCTTTCAGCAGTTTAGCCCTCTCTGCTCGAGTGGATCTTTTCTTGAACTCAAGGATATTCTTGTATTAGCTTTTTAACATTGTAAATCTCTAAAGGTTTTCTTGCTTTTGGACAGGCGTTATCTTCAATAATGCTAATTCCTTAACTGTATTGATTCTTTACAGATTTCAAATTATTTCCATGTATACACAATCAGTTTAGAGGTCAGCTGATGAGCTGCATACTGGCCCTGTTACATAAGTACACACATCTGCACATACTTGTAGTGCATAGTCAAGCGTGTAGGTGTCCTCGCCTTTTGAATCAAATGGCTGTGCCTTCTTCTGTACGATAAACAGTCCCTTCCCTTCTGCTCTTGTACTGGTTTCCGTAGTTGTTAGTAAAGCCTGGAGGGTTTTGCTCTGTTCCTTGGCTCCAGCCACCTGACCCAGGCAGCCCCTATTTGAACTTTCCTGGAATCCCACAGCCCGGCTCACATTAGGATGTGCTTTGGTGCCATAGGCTGGGGACATGAGGAGTAACCCAGCCTGCAGTTGTGAGATTTTCCACACATGGGCCCAGGTGGGGTTCCATGTCCTTGGTTTTTCGCCCCTGCACAGCTTGCCCTGACATCATCCCACGGTCAGTTTGGGAGGCCAGAGAAACACACTGCACTAAAATGAACCTTCCAGCCAAATATGTTGTCATCATCCACACTGCTGACCCAACTTGCAATGTATCCATGGACTGCCAGATTCGCATCCGAGACATACAGTCCTTCCACATGGACACACGGAACTTCTGTGACATTGGATATAAGTAAGTGTGATTGATGGAAACATGACCGTCCTTTTCTTCTGTAGGAAGGAAGGCAGGGGAAGGGGGTGGACTAATGTTTACTGAGCCCTTCCTTTGTGCCAGATGCTTTCCGTAGAACATCATATTTCACTCGCGCAAGACTCTGGACTGCGTATCACTGAGACCACAGTTAAGGGTTAGATTCTCCATGAGTAGATGGGAAGACTTGGAAAAGAAGACATTAGCAATAATGATAAAGCAAGACTATGGCAGGCCTTATAGACGGTCATTGAAGAATTGTACCTTTTGTAGGTTTAGTGCCAGTCCCTTCCAGCCACTCAGAGACATGGGCTCTGCTCACCCCCCTACCTCGGTCTTCCCCTCTTTGATGTCAGAGTCCTGCATTACCTCTGGTGTTATTTACTCTATTTGACAGACACAGGACCTTTTAACTGCTCAGGGCTTCTTTTGCCTGGTCTCTGCAGTAGGAACAACATTACCTTATCTATTTGAAGGAATAGAGTGAAATCAAAATGTTCTCTCTTGGCTCCTTTAATGCCAGGTCTATAACGAAGAATCTCATTAAGCTAGTGGAATAGCAGAAACTTCTTGGAGGATGCTACTTGGTGGAATTTTCATAGAAGGGATTTAGGGTTAGAATGTGAGAAATTTCAGTTATTCCTCTGTGACTTAATCACAACACACTTCACTAAGTCTCAGGTGGGTTAGCTTTGGCATCCGTGTTGTTCTCAGCTGACTGCCTCTCTCTTAACTCCCACTTTAAAAGCAGCCTTTGCAAACAGGAGACAGCTGTTGCTGTATTTTGCATGATTTCTGACAGCTTTGCATGGCTATTTAACAGAGACAATAGTGAGCTCTCTATAAATTTAGAAATTCCAAATGGAAAATGCCAGAGGGAATGTTAGTTTTCCTTTTTCATTTAGTCTGCAGGGACTCAGTCCCTGTTCCTTGGCTTTTGAAGTCTCTTATGGTAGCCCCTGCCACCCCAGCCTCAAGATGCGTCATCTCCACCTCCCATGTGGATTGTGGTCAGGACAAAGCACCCTCTCACCATTTTTTACCTTCTTAACGAATATTTATTGGGTATCTGCTAATGCCTGGTGCTCAGCAAGACACATACTGTTCCCTCCCTTGCAGAGTAGGGAGGGAAGATAGTAAACCAGTAATGACAACCTAGGGCACCAGGCCCTGTAAGAGATGAGGAGCAGGAGACCCACAGGATGATCTAACAGAACTCGGGGGCAGTGAGTGGTGTCAGGGGAGGGCTTCTGCAGGGGGGACGTACAAGCTGGGACATGGATAAGGAATGGGGACTCGTCAGGCAAAGTCGGGCCGGGAGTGTCCCAGGCAGGGGAGCGGCATACCCAAGGGCCAGGGGTCCAGACAGAGCACATGTCTTTGATGAACTGAGAGAAGCTTAATGAGTTCTTAGAAACAGATTTCAAGGAGGGCCGTGGGAGAGGTGAGGCTGGAAAGGCCGACACGCGGCTGGTCCTGATAGACTGAATACAGTCAACATCTGCTCCATGGACAAAAGAATGAATTAATGATTCAAGGAGTGCATGAAGACAATTTTCCTTCCCAGAGTGACTTCCTCTGTTTTCTTTTGCTCAATCCTAGCTTCCTGGTGGGTGAGGACGGTGGTGCTTATGAAGGGGTTGGCTGGGAGATCCAAGGTGCTCACACGTACGGATACAACGATATCGCCCTGGGAATTGCCTTCATAGGCAACTTTGTAGGTAAGGAGTGAGCGCATTGCAGATGGGTTCTGGGTGTTGAAGTATCATGTGGGATGTCTTGGAGGCCTGCGGGGAAAGGCACCATTGTGGTACCTAGCAGGGTCAATGGAACATTTTGCTTAAAGTGGGTTCTCCATACAGGATGCAGGTTACCAGGTATTCCTCCCAGACTGAACATGTTCGCCAAACCCATTCATCCCAGTGGCCATCTCCATCTTTTTTTATGGCCATATGCAAGGAACGCGTGAAGCAAGAGAGAACAAGATCTTTTGCAAACTTTGGTGATTTTACCGCACGGCCTGCAAATACTTCTTCCTTGGTGACTGTGGCAATGGCGTCAGGGAGGCCCACCACCTGTTGCAGTGCTGCACAGTGCCTGCTGAGAAGTGGGGTGCTGTGCTGCCCTTCTCTTCCAGAGCAGGGGTGAACTTTCTGCAAAGGGAGAAGCTTTGCAAGGAAGATCAGGGAATGCAATGACCTTGTTTTCTTTGTGCTTGGCTGCCACAATTCATGTGAATTTGTTGGCTGTGGTGGTGGCGGGGGAGGACAGAGGGAGACAGGAATCTGGGCGCATGTCCCCGCCTTAAGCGAGTAACCTGGTGACCTGGATGATGATGGGGTAAATGTGTTTTGCAGGTGCCCCACCCAACGCTGCAGCTCTGGAGGCAGCCCAGACCCTGATCCAGTGTGCCGTGGCCAAGGGGTATTTGAGTCCCAACTACCTGCTGGTGGGTCATAGTGATATCAGCAAAACCCTCTCTCCTGGGAAGGCTTTGTACAACATCATTAAGACTTGGCCCCATTTCAAACACTGAGACACCCACCCCTGCTCCTCTGAGAGTGTTCCCCACACCCACCAGGCCACCCCTGCTCTCACCCTGCACCTTGACTCAACCCCTCATGTCCTGTCCCTCCTTTCTCAGGTAGTATGACCCTCTCCTGTCGGTGTCCCCCAGCTGTCCCCAAACTCTCAGGCGCAGCCTCCCTCCCTCCTCACCTCCTTCCCCTGGGTGCCACCTCCTCAGCCAGACGAGGCTACAGGCTGTGACTTCTTGTCCCTCAGCACGTGCCCTTCTGCCCCTGTGCCCTCCTGTGTCTGCCTGCAGCCCCCAGCCTCATGCATGACTCAGGCCAATGCCCTCTGTGACTTCTTGTCCCTCAGCACGTGCCCTTCTGCCCCTGTGCCCTCCTGTGTCTGCCTGCAGCCCCCAGCCTCATGCATGACTCAGGCCAATGCCCGTCCCCTCCTCTCTGCTCACACATGGACATGGCCATGTTTGGACACAGCCCTTCTCTCAGGGCTTCATTGTTTACAGGCGTGTCTGTCTCTCCACTGGATTGTGAAGTGGTCCAGCGTCTGTCCTCAGCTCCTCCACAGGGTCTGGTATCCAGTGGGTGCAACAATGTTTGCTGAATAAATGGATGAATAAACAAATGAGTGGGTCAGCCCCTGTGCCCTTCCACTTTGCTCCATCATCCCCTGGTTGGGGTAGGCTCCCTGGACAGCACCCACCGCCGGAGTCTCTCTCCTGTTCCTCCCAGCCCAAATCTCAGGTCACTGGTCTGTAATGGGTGCTGTGTCTCCAGGGTCCCAAACCCCCATCCTCCCCAAGGTCCGTGAGGGCTGGGCTCGTGTGCCCCTCCAGGACCAGGCCTGTGCTATGTCCACACAGCCTTTCGAAGATTCTGATGTCACTGCATTCTCTCCATTTGTCATGTGCCTCTGGCTGCCTGGCATGCAGGCAGGGAAGGATGGTTTAGCTGGAGGGGCAAGGAGGCCCAGGGGACTCCGGGCCACTTCCTGACTTTCACAGCCAGGACCGTTCCAGGAGGAGACCCGCCTGGGGTGGGGTGTCGCTGTGTCAGGGGCTCTGGCCAGCCCTGTCCTTCTTTGGGTGCGGGGCTGGGCACAGATGTCCTAGAGGAACCACCCCAACCTCCTGCAGTGTGTCCCCTTCCCTGACAACGTGGAGGGTCCCCCCTGCAGGGAGCAGCCAGAGGGGTGGCGTGAGATGCTGAGAAGCGGGCTTGGGAAAAAATCTGTCCTTCAGGTTTCTTGGCCTCCCTGCAGGCCTCCCAGGAGAGGGTCTCCTTCCTTTGATCCCAACCCCCTTCCCAGGCTCAGGGGCTCATTGGCCTCCCCAGGCCCCCTACTGCCCAGGAAGGCCTTGGGGGGGACTGTAGACACCCCCATCTCCGTCAGCCCTCAGCAAGGTCTCCAGTCAACAACTTTGCATGGTCTAGATTATTGTCTTCTCAAAATTATTCACCATCTTTTGTCTTAAATATACCATCCAAGTGTCATCGGGGCTCTCCGCTGGCAGGGGCTTCTCCAAGGAACGCTCCGGGTGGCCCGTTCCATGCAGTTGCCTCTTCTGGGTCCTTTGTGTGGAGAAATTCTTCCCAGCTCCCCTTACTTCAAGTGGGGAACCCGTCAGCGCCCCCGGGGTTGTTGTGAGGATGAAGTGGAGTAAACGCGTTAGGGTCTTAGGCTCCGGCTGGCACATGCTCGCGGCCCCCCTGCAGGCCGCCGAGGAAGCGTCCTTGGGGCTATTGCTGAGATGGCAGCTGCCCATCGCTCCTGTTGACGATGGCCCGGAGGATGCGTCCTGGGGCACCAGGTGCCGCTGCCCCAAGGGAATTTGGTAAGAGCAGGTGAGCCCGAGCCTTGTGAGCTGCAGGGAGGAGCCAGATGAGCCCGTGGGCGGGGCTGCAGGAGCCCAGGTGAGGGAGGGACCTGTGTCCTTCAGGCCCCCTGACTGCTGGGGCGGGGCTCCAGAGCGCAGCTGGTCAGCTGCTTCACAACTGTACGCTGGGAAGGAGACACAAAGATGCCAAATGAAGTTTTCTTTGTCCCCAGAGTGGAATCAACCAGGCTAAGGCCTTGTATTTTACAGAAAACTGAGCCTAAAGCACGCAGATGACATGTTCACGTTCACCCTGGGAGTTTCCTAAAGGAAGCAGCCCTCAGGTTCTGAGCCCACAGCATTCCTACCGCCCTCTGGTTGGAGTCATTTTCTGGGCCCTCCGTTCTGGGACGGTGAAGTAAAGCATCGTAGCATGGCTTTCAGGACTGTCCACAATCTCCCCCAGCCCATCCTCCTCCACGGAATGGGCCCAGGTGGGCAATTCAGAGGCTCACCTTGTGAGCTCGCCCACCCTGGTCCACTGCCCACTCTATGCCCACCCTCTGGACCTCTCCAATCTGCCAGGAGTTAAGACACTTACCAAGGCTAGCTCCTCTGGAAGGCTCCCTGCTTCTCCAGACCACAGATGGCATCTCTGCCCCCAGGTGCCCATGGACTTTGCTCAGGCCTCCTGGTGGCTTGTCACTCGACCCTGGCGTCTCCCTCCCGACCTGGGCTCCCCAGACTTTACCTGCCCCTCCCTGTCTTAATATCTCCTGACCTGGTGCAGGGCCTGGCGCCCCGGGCACCCCATCCACAGGCATGGAGTGGCAGGGAGAGGGCCAGAGCCAGGCAGGGAGGGCGAGCAGAGGCAGCGATTCCAAGCTGGGAGGGCAGCTCCCGCCCCTCTCTGGGTCCCAGGGTGTCTGTCACAAAGTAGAGGTCCCAGGTCCTCAGGCTGCCTCAAGCCACCCACCACTGCAGCAGATCGGATTTCTCACAGGCGAGCCCCATCTTACTCCAGGCAATAATTGTTCCCTCCTTTGGTGGCCTTCCCGTCAGTGTGAGGCTTGGGAAGAGTGTCCCCCGGCACCCTCGGAGGCTTCTGCGACTTTCTCATTACGGTGGCCACAGCCGCGGGGATACCAAGGCCTGCTGGCCCTGCTGCCCCCTGAGCATGGGAAAGGTGACCTCCCAGGTCTCTGCCCTCCCTCGGCCTGTGCTCCTGGGCTCTTCCTCTGTGTCTTTGGATTTTCTTTTGTCTCTTTTTTCCCTAGGTCTCTTTGTCTCTGTCTTCCTCCCACCCCATAGCCTGCTGTCTGTCATTCTTTCTCTCACGCTGCCTCCCTGCTAGCCATCAGTGCTTTCCATTTCCTGTCTGCCCATGTGCTCCCATGTCTGTCCCTGTCTTTGCCCATTCTCTTTGCCCTCACCAGCATCTAGAATGTGGCCTTGTGGAGGACATGGTAGGAAAAGGCGGCCTGAGCCTCAGCACGCAGACTCCACCTGTTGGCCCCACTCTGCTCCGGAACCAAGCCCGCCCATCCTCAGGCCCCTGGCATGCCACGGAGTGGGAGGAGGGGGCAGAAGGCCAAGGGTGGGGTGGCTCTGGGGGAGGTATACGTCTTCTAGAGCGTACAGCCTCGCTGAAGCTGGACATGTTTGTTCCTGGCCCTGCAAGTTCTGTGGGGCGGGGCTGAGTGCGGGCAGGGCCCTAATTAGAAGAGCTGGCTCTGAAAGCAGAGAAGGTGTTACTAGCTGGAGGGGTGGTGGGTGCAAGTGGGAGCTCCTGGGTTGGGTGCAGGAACCTCTGGGGGACTTTCCCTGGTGGGCTGGCGTAACAAGTGCCTCCCCGTAGCGTGCAGCTGGGAGTGCCGCCACAGGGCGGCCGAGAGCCCTTTGGTGCCCAGGAGTGATGCAGCTGCCCGTGTGAGAGGGGAGCTGGGAAGCTCTCATTCACCCTCCAGTGCTCAGCTCACATGTCCTCTCTTCTAAGGGTCTATCTCTTGAGGCCCCAATTAGGATTCTCCCATTGTGTTCTTTGGTACTCTGTTCATTTGTAAATAATTATGTGTTTCTCTGTGTGTGTGTGTGTGTCTAAGTACATGTTTTATTGTCTGACTTTCCCACTAGACTATAAAAAGCATTGCAACAGGGACTGTTCACCCCATTTACGTCTGTACCTGCTCCTGGCGCATGATAGGTACTCAGCGAACCTTGTGGTCATGCATATTCCCCAGGTGTGAAGACCAGGCACTGACTGTCTACAGACTCGTCTTGGAGCAGGTGGCCCGTCCCTGCTGAGCTCCCAGCTGGTCCATCATGAGGTGTTGGGGAGGGGAAGGAGCCCGGGGTGTGAAGATGGAGGGATCAAGAGGGAACTGACCTGAGGTCCAACCAGATTATAGCAGATCCACAAGACTGCACCCACAGGGATGACGAAAAGCTGAGAGCCCAGTAACACTCGGAGGTCTTTTCTCTGTGCTGGCACATGATATATGTGGTTTCACGGCATCCTCAAGACAGCTCTGTAGGGCTGGACCTGTCATTCCTATTAGACAGCTGAGAAAACTGAGGCTTGGCTTGGAGAGATTAAGGCACCTTCTTGAGACCCCACAGCCAGGGCATGCCAGCCCTGAGCAGAGTTTCTGTCCCTTCTCCCAGGCTGCTCACATTCCTTTTACAATTGGTCACGCGAAGTGGACAATGTGCCCAGGGGTCCCTTGGCTCCAACAAAATTCACTGGAGCAATTGATTCCCTTGATCTAACCATATTCTTCAATTTATAAGGTGATCCATATAAAACTCGATGTACACGGTACAGTTCTGAACTCGTGTCGTAATAATAACACTGGCAATGCAGCCCACAATTGCTTCACCTCTTGGTCAGCCTGGCAGCCTCACTGGCCCAGTGGGCATTTCTACCACAACCGCTCTTAACCCGCCTCTCATCTCACCACATCCTCACCGGGCCCGTTTTTCAGCTTGAGTGAGGGACTCTGGTCTGTCTTGATTTAGCTTCACATTAGTCATGTTTCCTCATAGCTAAAATCTGTTGAAATCTTTTGAATTTTGATTTCATCATCCTCTGTGAGCCATCGCTCACTTCCTTATCTTCAGCATTTTAATTCAAATTCTTCGTTGTCATCTCTCAAACATCCACAGGTATTGGGCAGGGACACCTGGCCCTTCTACTGCATTGCCCGTTTGACCCTCATGAGAACCGGCAAGGAGGACACTGTGATCCCTATTTCACAGATGAGAAACTGAGGAGATGTGCTCGAGAACCCAGATTGCGAGCCCCATTTCCTGCCACCATTGCCTGGTAGAGTTTTCCCTGAATCTCCCTCCAGGATGACAGCAGTGCATTAGCTACAAGCCTCTGCTGTTTGCTGCAGTGACAACCAATGTGCTGACGGGTACACCCGCCATTCAGTCCTGTAACCCTGGGGCAGATGGAGGGAGAAAAGAACTCCTGCTAGCAATTAGCCCATCTTCATCATCAAGCACCTACAGGCACCATTTCACTTACCACCAATATCCTTATGAATCCCAAGTCTGGAATTTTTATTCTTGTTTTCACTATATTCAACTCCATTCTTAATTACCCTCCCTCTGACAGTCTTTGTACACACAGCAGTGAGGTTCACATTTAAAGGAGGCATCTTCTGGCAGCATGGGCCCTGACCCGGCTAGGGCCCCTCAACCTAAGCTTCAAGTGTCACTGAACCAGGCACACACAGGATGTATTTATATCATAAACCACATACCACATGTGTAAAGACTTTCTGAGAGATGCATGGCTCGTGGGGGGTGGACAAAGGTCATGATCTGTAGACTTCTGGTGTCTAAGGAAGTTAAAGTGTGTGTTGCTGTTTAAAATCACAGAGATTCCTGCTTTAGATTCCAGTCCAACGAAGCCAAGGATACATGTCTGACCCTCTTGGTTTGTTATTCTGTCCAACGTAGGTAATAATGAAATTCTCTGGGTTGGTATTTAAAGGAAGAACTTGCAATGTAATAATTAAGTTGAAAAACACCCCCACATTCTCACACTGAGTAAAGGAAAAGCTGCCAGCATTACCTCCCCTTAGGGAGGTTTTCATCGGCCTGGGTGGGAGGGGATGAGGCTGGGGAGGAGACCCACCAGGGGGCCATGGGCACGGACTTCAGGGCTGTCTGTCCCTCCCACACCTCTCTCTTTTTTGCCTGGTCGGTTTCCATTCAACTTTCAGTTCCCAGTCCTAGTGTCATGGTTCTGGAGGGGAACCCTCCCCGGCCCCGCACCGGCAGCCATATACTCACTCATTCGGAAACCTGCCCCTCTCCAACACGGCAGGACTTGGACTATATCTTTAATTCTAGTGTTATTTATTTTAGATCTGTCTTCCTCTCTAGACATTAGTTTTATGCTGGTCTGAGAGGCTTTGCATCTAAGGATCCAAGGGGTGGCTCCGGGTCCCTCAGCCATTTGGAAGGTGGGTGAGGGAGCAGCCCCCCGAGGGACTGGAGTCCTGCCCGGGCTGGGCCAGTAGGTGGCGCAGGCGAGCCAGCTCCCTGGCCAGGGCTGGGGGCTGGGAAAGCCTGGATGGGTGTAGGGAGAGAGTATATTCACCAGGGGCAACAGCTTGGACCTGCTGGGTGAGGAGGTGGGGCACCCAGCTGATGCAGGCCTAGGGAGGCAGAGAGAAGGGCTGGGGAAGCAAACCTGCCGGGGCATGTGCTGTGGGGGTGGCTCGGGTGTTGGCGTTCTGGTACTTCTGGCCACAAAACTGCCCGTGGCACAGTGGGATGCACAATGGCAAGGCAACCTGTCCAGGGACTTGGAGGTCAGAGTGGAACCCCGCCCTGCCAGAGCTGCTTTGGGACACATGTCCTACTTGCTCTTGGTCTCCCACTGCCCACAAACTTGCCCATGTGTCACTTCCGTCCCGGAGTTTCTGTCCTAACCCTCTTTGTCTCAATGGAGAAAACTGTGGCCCACTGAGCAGGACTTCTCCCGACTTCCCACGACCTTGCAAACATCTTTCTTGAACACGGAGTTCAAATTCTATGTGCTTATCTCTACCTGCGTATCTAGTAGGCATCTAAAATGTTAATATCCAAAGCTGAGCTCCTGGTATTCCCTTTAAAACTCCCACTACAGTCTTCCCAACTCAGTAAATGGCAATGCCAGAGAGAGACCTTGGGTCCATCACTGACTCCTTTCTCTCCTTCCCCCTGTCTGGCTGCCTCTGCTTTCAACATACAGTCAGAATTCAGCCACTCATCAGCACGTCCCTTGCTACCTGTCTGGTTCAAGTCTCCATCATCTATCACTTGAAAGGCTGCACCTGGCCTCTCTGGATTGGTCCCCTGGTTCTACTGTCCCCCAGCCCATGTGCCTTTTCTCGACACAACAGCCAGAGAGATCCAGTTAAAATCCAAGTCAGATCTGTTTCTTCCTCTACTCAAAAACCTCTGATGGCTTCCCATGTCACTCAGAGGAGGAGCCACAGCCTTTGGTATGGCCTGAAAGACCCTACACAGTCAGGCTCCTTGCTTCGCCTTCAACTGCATCTCCAGCTATTTCTCCCCCTTCCCCTGGGCTCTAGCCTTGTTGGCCTACCCCAACCCTCCACAGCCACCTGGACACACACTCCCTTTAGTAAGATTGTTTCATACACTTCTAAAACCATTAGATTAAAAAATACATTTGGCATTCTGTTTTGGAATTCTTTCTACCTCCTAAATTATTTTTTCAAATTGCACATATTCAGGGTCATTCTTGGGGCTGTACAGGTCAATGGGTTTTGACACATGCATGTTTCACAATTGCAGTATATGAATAGTTTTGCTTCCCTAAAAAGTCCTCTGTAGTTCATTTAGTCAGCCCTCCCTCCAAACTCCAAATCCCTGGCAACCACTGATTCTTTCACTGTCTGTACTTTGTCTTTTTTAGAATATCATATAATTGGATTCATGCAGTTTGTAGCCCTTTTGGGGAAAACATACCAAATTAACCATCAAGGGCTCTGGTGGAGAAAGAATTGTTCATTCCCTTATCAATATGCACTTAAGGGACACCCATGTCTTTTTCTGGCTTGGCAGTTCATTTTTTTGAATTGCTAAGTAATATTCCATTGTATGGATGTACCATTGTCTGTTTATCAATTTACCTCTTAAAGGACATCTTGGTTGCTTCCAGTTTTGGGGGATTATGAATAAAGCTGCTATAAATATTTGCATGTAAGTTTCTGTGTGGATATGTTTTCAGATCAGTTGGATAGATGCCTAGAAACATGCTTGCCAGATAATATGACAAGACTATGTTTAATTTTTCAAGAAAGTACCAAATTGTCTTCCAAAAGAGCTATACCATCTTGCATTTCCTATGTACAGGAATGAATGAAAGTTCCTGTTGCTCCACATACTCATGTCTCATTTGTCAGAGCATTCTGAAGGGGTGGCTATGCAAGTGTGACCTATTTGGACTTTGAGACACATTTCGACAGTGTTCTACACCAGTGACTCAATGTGGCACTGGGGGAGAC